TTCTGATTTAAATAATCTTCTGCATTTAAATTATTCCTAAGATTTTCTTTACCTCTTGTATACTTATATTCATTGCTGTTCTTACAGCTTTATAGTTCATTTTATCATAATAGGCCATACCAACTTGATCAATGATCTATTGTATTTAAATAATGAAACATTCTCTGATACTGTAGTTCGTTATTCTATCTAACCAAATCACTTCGATTCAATTAAACCTTATCGTTTTATTTAAACTCAAGTTATAGGAATAATCTTAGTTAAATATATCTACATATATAAAATTATTAAAAATAAAATTTTGAACAAAATTATACCTTGTTTAAAAATTTTTAATTTTAATTTTAAATATAAATAAAAAACTTAGTTTCATAAGTTATAAAAAAGAAATCAATTTGTATTGTTAATTCTGAGAAGCCTTAAAAATATACGGCAATAAATAGTTGAAATTTAATCGTGTTATCAAAATTTTAAATAAACAAAAGCAATAGTTGAAAAAACAGTTTATCTAAGTGTTTGATGGTACGTCGTGTCCTCGTTAATGTTTAAACAACAAAACTAGATTTAATTCAAAGGACTTCTGAGAAGGGTCAGCCAGCTACGAAATTACCTTACCAAGTAATAACGTCCTGTAAATATATTTATAAATGCTGCTTATAATATATTAAATGAAAATCCAATTAATCTTCATCTAGTAGGCTTTCCCGACCAGGTGTTGACAAGCAGCTTTCTCTATTGTTCGTGTAGTAATAAAATTATTTAATCCTTCTATAATTTTACGCAGTCTAATACATTTTAAACACTAGCAAAACATTACTAAAAGGTTTTGTTTTTAAAAACCAAGTTCAACAGTTATTTCAAATTTAGTGTATAGTTCCTGCCAACCAAAATAACGTGACTGTATATAAGTTGACTCTTAAAGAAATCAAAATATTCGAATAAACTATACAGATAACTAATTTTGGTATAATTTTTCAATGATTTGTCACTTTACATTCTTCGCCAATAATCAAAGTGCTACCGAAAGCAAATGACATGTTAAAATAAACAGTGACACACTACGGTCAATTGATTTCTACGAAAATAATTTTAACTATTATATGTTTCTTTGAAATAGTGAAATACGAATACTTTGACTAGTCTAGTTAATTTTAGTTACTCCGTTCTTATAACGTGCTTTTTATTTTACAAGAACAAAACCTAAAGCAAGTTTCTAGTATAATGAAATATGTTTATTTATTTATTTATTTATTACTATATATGCATACTTTGAAAAATGTAATTCTCCGGCAAAAAATAATAAGGCCCAATTATATGCTTCAAAATTATTGTATTTATAGTCCTCCTGGTTTCAATGTTAAAAGTCTTTTCGCATAGTTTCTTGGAAGGATAAAATGACACTCTTTCATTTAGTTTACAGTGTTGGCTAAAAATAAATTTACACTCAAAGTTTTCACAGCTGAACTATGTACGGTATTACCAAACGAATACACTCGAAGTCGTTTTGGGGTAGGAATTATGTAAATGCATTGAATTATTTGTCCCTGTGGGCTACAAAATTGAAACGCAAGTATGAAACAATATATAAGTAAAAAATTATTTTGCATTAGTTCGTTAAATAAATGCTATTTTTAAATTTCGAATTTTCCTTATCCTCTTGTAAAACACAACATCGACCTCGTTGATTTTATTCTCCTTAAGCCAACATCTCATCATGACACCGTTCACAGGACGATTTAACAAATTTTCGTCAGTCGTGTTTATTATTGCTGAGAATTGACTATGACTAGGTCATAAATATAACTGAAAAGTGGTGAAATATACCCCACTGGTAGTGACATATCAATTTCGTGTGACTTTCAATAGCGTTGTCGTCAACGAATTGTAATTATGTGGTATTTGTATAGAATGATTACAATGGAATCGAAAAAAAAAATCAATTCCTTTACGCCTATTGTTATTATACAGGATGTAAATCTTTTGAGCCATAATAACACATTTTTGAACATCCTGGAGGATGTAAAGGTCCCGTTTTTTTAATCGCCAAAATTGATTTTGGAATTACTTCATTCCGATTTTGGAAATGAAAAAATCGGATGCCTATTACATACCCCCTCAGGATACCCACTCATATATTACTATATTTCGAATGGTTTAGACCTTGTAGTTCAAACCCAATAATTGAATGTACACAAAAACAATCATTGATGTTTAATTAAGATAGTATGATTCATTGCTGTCCACAAATCAAATCAAAAGTTTTTTTCAGCGCCAAAATATCGACAACTAAAACTTTTGAGATTTTAGAAGTCATTAAAACAAATAATTCAATAAAACTATACGAACATTGTGAAACAGTAAAAAGTACTTCCAATAGGTGAACTTTTTATTGTTTTAAACATCATAAATGTATGCAAGTACATTAAAAGAAAATAACATATCATTTGCAATGCAGATAAGATAATTTATTTAGTTTTATTCGAAAGAACAATTTGATAATATATTAGATTACACTCTAAAAAAATGAATTTTTCTATGAATAAATTTTATATTTTTTATCGGCATTTTTTCCCCATCACATTGTTTAAACATTCATAGTGTGCTAACGTAAAACAAAGCCAACACTTATTGTGCTATACGTTAGTTATTAAGTCTCAAAAACAGTAATTGAATGACTGTTTTTATAACATTGTGAAACATAAAGTGCAAAAGAAAATTAAAAAGAAATGCAGTAAATCTAAATAAAAACGTATTTATTTAGATTCAAAAAATGTCCATTGTTCGATAAAAACAAATGAACATGTTGATTGTGCACTCCATGAGCACATTTACACGTAATCTACGCCGTGTAAAAATAATTAATAATTTTTAACACGGAGAGGACTAAGTATGTTGCATTGTATTTTTTTTTTCTTCCTCGACTACCCTTATTCGTATATTCCTGTTGTTCCGGTAACAACGTTATAATGTACAGTAACACCATATACTGTATAGTCCATACAGTCATATTAAAATCCGGAAAGATGATAATGTGAAAATAAACCAAATGCTGCACAGGGTCGACAGTGGCAATCGGCTTACATGAATCCTACTGTCCCGCGGGTCTCGGGCCCTTTCTAAACGACAGATAGGTAAAATGTTGTCCAATAATGTGTACCGTAGAAAGGAGAAGATTAATCAACTCGGAAGAACCGAGGGCAGTTTTTGTTGAGTAGTAGCCAACTCGTACCGCTTATAACGGCGTCGAATTTAGGAGGGTTAACCGCAATCTTTATAGTGTGCTATTATAAACATCCGGTGGTCCCCCGGGGACAGACTGACAGAAAGCATAACGGTCCCCCTCGAGCACGTTTACGATGCCATCCATAAGAGATTATTATTGTAATTCCTGTAAAAAGTATTGTTGCTTTCAATACAACCACCTTCATCAAAAAAACGCTAAAAGTAATCATAAAATTAATCGTTTTCTTTGTTACATTCAAGTCAGACTTACCAACGAGTAGTGTTTGAAAAAATACTTTTTAAGCTTAAAAAGTATCTCGTGTTGTATTAAAATAATCTTGTCTATTCATTAGTGTTTGATCGATACAAATTATCTAAAGAAATTATTTTCTTATGACTTAATGAGAAAATTGATTACTTAATTCTTTGAAATTCTTCGTTTTTAAGATAAAAAATGTTTGTTTGGTTTTAAAAGATTTTTCTTTGACTACTTCGGACAGAAAAAATATATGTTACATTATATTGTTTATTGAATAAATTACTTTATAATTTACATAATATTAATAAATTATAATTATTTATTCATTTCAACATATAGTATAAATCATAAAAAAATAATAAAGAAAACTTTTTCAATTCTAAATTAAAAATATCGTGGAGGTATTAAATAATAAATGGAACAAAAAAATATTTTTGAAACGCGTTCATATAGTAGTAAAACGGTACTGTTGTTATATTACAAAAAGGAATTTTAATAAAATATTATTTTAGAGGGAAATACTAAATAAAATTTGATATCAACTATTTCACAGAGGTAAATTAAGTAATATTCCATCAACATAATGTCACAATGACAAAATACAGACAAAATCTTTTAATATATAGAAACTAATTNAAAATCTTTTAATAAATAGAAACTAATTACAAAAAAATATTAACCCTTGATGTTTACTAATCTTAAAACTCTAGGTATATGTTGTACATATATGAGACTATCTATAAGGCTATAGACATGGCAAGAAAGTGATTGATGAAGCAAAGGTATAGGATTCTTGTAACCACACACACACACACATATATGCCGCCATAATAAATTTTCAAATGACAATAATACTAAAGCTTACATAAACCCTATTACTAATCTTTTGTAAGAATTCCCATCCAAATGAGATTTGCTCCATCCAAATACTTTTTTTTTATTTAGCCAAACTAAAATGATGATTCTTTAAGCGCATGTGTATAAGAGATCATATATTGTCAGTATAAATTAATATTCTCGAAAAAGATTTGACGTAATATTAATATTTAAACTATCGTCAAAGTACAATAGGATTATTGATAAAGTTATGTTACTGTATATAGTTGGATGTCATGTGAGAAGCTAGTGAAGTGCAATCCAAACAATATCGTTATACATTGAGAAAATATTTAAGTTGTAAATTAATTAAATCATAAATTATAGAGTTTTCGATTTAATAATGTTTAAATAGTTTCAAGGATATAGGATATATTTTATTATATAGACCCCAACATTTGTTTTTGACAAAAGAATAACGACCGAAAAAATGAATCACCGAGAAAGAATCCAGAATTCTGAGAGTCTAAGCTCCTGGTACAGTAGACTATTTACTGTAAACTCTCCTTTTTTGGAACTCTGTTATTATATTATAGCATTATCATCGCAACAAGTATACATTTCAATCTCGTCTCAATCTGTATTTATTAAATTACTTAAGTTTAATTAGTCATGCTTAAAAATTAGTTGAAAAAAGTGTTACCGTAAAATCCGGGGATAGCTCCAAGCGGCATAACAAGAAGACATACCAACAGATCAGCAATGGCCAACGACAGAAGAAAGTAGTTAGTAACATTTTGTAATTGTCGGTCCAAGCAAATGGCCAAGCACACGAGAATGTTTCCCACACCGCCAGACGCTATGAAGACAATCACGAATAAATATTTCCAATTGTACCATCTTTGGAACGTGGGCGTTCTTGGCCAAAGTTCGGAACGCATTGAACAGGTAGCTTCGTTGTCTCGTTCGCCATTACACTTGATGGTCACCAAATCGCCTCTGCTGGTTTCAGGTAATAACACTGGCACGATTGGCTGTCGATCAAAATGAGCCGACATCTGCGCCGGCAAATACAGGCTGACGTTGACGGGCACTGACGCAATGTCGATGCAATCGAGTGATCCATCTGTCCGATTGCTTACACGGCAGTCTAACGGCCAAGTGCCACCACAATCCAATTTATCGATAGGTGAGCCGGTCAACAGTAAGCCGCTGGACTCGGTGAACGCGGTAATAGACGAGCCGTTTATGTGACCGTCGTTGTCGTATACCGAGTATACGAGTCGACAGATGACCTGCGCCAACCACACCTTGACAGCTCCATCATCACGATTACTACCCATCACATTTTTTATTTATTCAACTGGGTTGACTTAACCTGTAAAAATAATTTAATAAAGCTCTAGGATAATTATGACAGATAACCGAACATCAAAGCGACCGCCGAAGAATCGCCTATGATAATTTTTTATATGTTTACACGCACTATCGGCGGACATCGATATATTGAAAATAGGTCGAGAAGTGTTTGGTGAATGCGCGAAAATCACGAGATAAAATCATTTCAGGTAATGGTTCAGCAGTTCTTAGACGTATAAACATTCAAGCTGATCCCAAGTTATTAATTTATCAAAAACACGCGAAACGTGAAAATATTTCATTTGTCCAAACATCAGTATTGTTTATGAAAAGCATTGGCCAATAGAAACTTTTAAGTGGCCTTGCCCGGTACCCTAAGTACATTTATCATTTTTTCAACAGTCCTCGGCACACGTGGTCATTTACACACGACCTGTGAGTGGGTCACCCTTTGTCAGCAATACGTTACGGAAACGATAACGATTCAATATATCCCCCGAACGAAGCCTTGGCCTCCGTTTGGGTTACACCAAGTCACGGCCGTTACTCATTTACACTCTCCTAATGTGTGTACAGGATTTTCGTTTGGTATTTCGAGTTTACAGCTGCCTATTTAATAACATAATGAAATTATTAGAAAAGCTTAAATTTTGCGTGGTACTGATAATTGCTTTTGAAATATGAGCTGAAAACTAACACCAGTGCACAAATTACTCGTTTTCAGCAATTTCTTCAGCTATTCAAATCTGTATTATTATTTGTCACCCGCATATTATACGTATTATATAAAAGTAATTAAGGCAAGCCGTCGTCTCCAAAATATCCTACGAAAACGCTACTAATGATACCGAACAGTGTTCCATGTGAATTAGTAAATACGTACTAATTTTTATTTCTTTTACTGATTTCAACTGCACTAATTCTTACCAAAGAATGCCAAATATAAAAAATCATCTCAAAGGGTCGTCAGAATAATACGACAGAATTTTAACCGATGTTGTCTCTCAATAATTACGTTTTATTATATTTGTGCACTTTTGTTTCGAGCGANTTTTATTATATTTGTTCACTTTTGTTTCGAGCGAAGCTGTCACGTCTCACGTTAATACCGACGTCATGACGTGTAAATCGCATTTCCGGACCGTTCACACTAAATCGTACACAGTCTACACAAAACAAAATAAATAAAAATTTGAATTTTCCAATGGTAAAATGCGAAACATTATACAGTCGAAAAGTTTTCTTATGTTAATATAAGACAAAAGCTCTGCCAAAATCATGAAAAAATATCCAACGCTATATGTGCATGTACACATTTTGCCAACAACGAGGTAAACTAAATTATTAGCGCATACAAAATTCGTTTTTCTCTTTGCCCGAATAATTTACTTGTCCTACAATTCGGTCGTACGTTGAAAAAATCACAACTCTAGAAATAGACCATTAATAGAGCATCAAAATTGTTCATCATAGAAGAAAGGTGTTCACCTTATGGTTTTGCACATACAGTAAACTACCGTCGACAAATTGAAATTAAAACTCTCACCCGCCCCCAAACTGCACGATGGCGACGTTGATTTACAGTGTAATTATAAACTAATAATTCAGATATAACGGTAATAAATTCATTAACTGGAAGAAAGTAATAAATTAAAATTTAGCTCACTGTGCGCCCTGTCAGTTTCGCCCCGGCAGCGGATGCTCCCTAATTGTTTAAAAGGCCAACGATATATTAATTGTGTATACATAACAAAAACATGCCAACATTTTACAAAACCGCTCATATTTTGTAAACGAATCCACGCGAGTGTTATGTATTCTAATGGAATCATATTAATTAGTAGGCTTTATCGATACTTATCAACATCATTAATCCCCGCTGACTTTGGCTACAACAAACATGCAACATTTTGTACATATTATTTCATTGATTAGGTGCGTACCAATACAGTGGTATTATACGAAACATTACACACTAAACCACTGCGGCTGGCTAATAGTGTTCAATCAACGCCTACGCACACATGCACACCAAACAACAGCAATCACTTCATCTCAGGAACACTTTCTATAAGGCATTATCATTAATAATTAATTAATTTTCATCAATCAACATTGGTGTGTGTACGTCGTCTATTTGTAAGCTTTTTAGGTACTTGTACTTCGTAGTATTTCTATGGAGTTCTTGGTACCATGAAATTACACTCTAATTGAATACCCATCCGTTTTTTATTACTTTAGAACGCAGGAA